TCAGCAACATGACGGGCCTGCCAGGCCAACTGGCCAATGAGACCATTGCCGCCTACAAGCAGCGTTGCTTGGCTCAGATAGAGGCTGAGGAACAACGCCTGCTGGCAGTCRAGGCTGCCYGCATACAAGCTGAAGAGGCAGCAGCAGCAGAGAAACTGCGGCTACAGGCCGATGGAGAAGCAGATGCCCAGGCTCGCCGAAAGGAAGCCCAGGATCTGCTGCAGCGGCATGAAGCCAACAGCATCGACAGACTCAAGTACTGGCATTTTCAACCGAACGACGACGACGCAACACCGGAAGAAAAGCACAAGGAGTTCCTCTCCAAACTCGTGACGCGGTTGTTGTATGCTTGCAACTACCAAAGGTCAGAGTTGGAGAGACAGCACCGGGACCTGACGCAACAGCATCAGGAATTGGCGACGCTCCGCCACACAGTGCAGAGCCACGAGGATGCAACTCGGGCACTCAATGCCCGATTGTTGGACCTGGAACAGGCTGTACCAGGACCAGCTGCTGGAGCTTCCAGCAGTGCACACTCAAGCCGCCAACTGGAGGACCGCGTTGAACACGTAGTGGCAATGCTCGGTGACATCAGCACCTTCGCTGCGCCGACCACCACCATCAGCAGTCAGCTGCATACATTGAAGACCGAGGTCCAGAAGCTGCAGTCGACGAACGCGGACGACAATCCGAAGATGTACAAGATGCCAACTTTCAACCGGGAGAGGTTCGACGACTACACGCAGCAGGATCCCGTCCTCTGGTGGACATCATTCACAACGCAACTCAGGATTCTGCCAGTAGCCAAGCATGCGTACATCGGCGCCCTGTTCCTGAACTCAAAGGGCGGATGCCAGACCTGGTTGAGCCACCTGGCAACCTCCCACAGCGTCGACGTACCAGACTTGAAGGACGTAATCACATGGGAGGAACTTACACGGCTGTGGAAGAAGCGGTTCATCGTCGACGACGCGCCGGCACTCGCCATCAACCGTTTGTTCACCATGTCACAGGGCAACACAGCAACACGGGACTGGCTCACGGAGTGGCAGAAGATTGCGGCTGTGCCCAATCTGAACCTACCATTCGGGCATCTACGCCGTGAGTTCTACAACAGGTCCTGTGCGGCATTGAGCCAGGCTCTTGGTGATTGCGAGCAGTACTCAACCTTCGTGGAGATCATTGACAAAGCGAGGGAGATCATCAAGACCAACAGGTCAGCTGCACACAAGAAATCAACATGGCAGCCGACCTATGTGGAGAAGGCACGAACTAGTCCGCGACAGCAGCACTTCGCTGCAGTCCAGCAGGACAGTGGAGATAACCCAGCAGCCACTCCAGCATCAAGTGACGGAGATCAGGTGGCTGCTGTCCAGCCGCGAAGCAACAACAAGTCCCGCAACAATGGGAAGGCGAAATCCGCATCGCAGGCCGRAAATGGACAGYCAGTACAAGTTCCATGGGTCAAGTTCGGCTTGACCGAGGCGGAGTACAAAGTCCGCGGCCGCTACGGCAACTGCTATTGGTGCAACAGCACCAAGCACAAGACCTCCCTGTGTCAGGATCAGGGCAAGGAGGATGTGCGACCCCGCCTCAGCTCGGGAAACTGAGCTCCGCGGAAGGTGAGGCGACTCCACCTTCTACTCCGCCAGATTCGGCCGCCTTGCAAGCGGCCTCCTGCACATCTGGGGAGGATGCGAATGTCGCAAGTCCTCGGTATACTTACGAGGATTATGCTGTCCACTTGGTTCCACCGCTGGACCAACCGCTCCACGTGCAACAGTCCACCGCATGCACGGTTTCATCACCATCGGCAAACGATTCGGCAGCTTCGCCGCAACCTATCGCCGGGGATTCGACGTCATGGTCAAGACTTGATGAGCTCGATCCTTTGACGTTCACGGACTTCCAGTGGATGTCCGTTCCCTCGCCCGGACGATTGTCGAAACCGCATTGCAACGCGCTTATGGCACAATTGCGGGACTACTTACACACTGCAGTACCAGCTCCGTTGATGGACGCCGGAGCAAAGGTTGTCGACCTTCACGCTTTCATCGCGAAGATCGACTGCGAGTTCAAGACGCAACGGTACAACGACATCGACGCACCATTGCTATACATACGCATTCACATCGGAGAGGCGACCTGCAGTGCCTTGATTAATTGCGGAGCATCTCGCAACTACATCAGCCAAGACTTCATGGTACGCGCCGGCCTTGGCCCACGTGTCCGGAGGAAGTCCCAACCTACGCAAGTCACTCTGGCAGACGGTCATACGCACAAGTCCATCGACCGATGCATTGACGCCGTCCCAGTGTACTTTGCCCCCCAYGCAAGTGAGGCGGTGTCCTTCGACATTCTGGACACCAAATTCGACATGATCTTGGGCATGTCATGGCTGCRAAGCAAGGATCACCATGTGAACTTCTTCAACCGCACCGTTCACGTTCGTGACCGGAACGGAGTATTAGTTTCATGCACGGTGCCTTTTCCTCATCCTTCGATCAGCTGCCACGTGGTATCCGCCGCAAGCATGCGAGTTTCCATCATCAGAGACGACATCGAGGAGATGGGGGTGTGTTTTCTCCACGCCCTCCCGCCACATGACGCTTCATCGACGGACTCACCTTCGGATCCACGCATCACCGAACTTCTCGACGCCTACAGTGACGTGTTCGAAGGCCCGCACGGAGTAGTAGAGGATCGACCCATCCGCCACGAGATCATCCTCGAGGACGGGGCCTTACCTCCGCGCGGTTGCATCTACCGAATGAGCGAGGAAGAGTTAAGTGTGCTTCGGGCACAACTCGACGACCTTCTAGAGAAAGGCTGGATTCGGCCTAGCTCATCGCCATACGGTGCTCCTGTTCTCTTCGTCCGGAAGAAGAACAAGGATTTGCGGTTGTGCATCGATTATCGCAAGCTCAACGCGCAGACGATCAGGAACGCCGGCCCTCTCCCACGCATCGACGACCTTCTCGAGCGATTGGGCGGCGCCCAGTTCTTCTCTAAGTTGGATCTCAAGTCARGGTACCACCAACTCGAGATTCGCAAGGAGGATCKCTACRAGACCGCGTTCAAGACCCGGTATGGGCATTTCGAATGGCTGGTCATGCCATTTGGCCTTACGAATGCCCCAACCACTTTCCAAGCGGCTATGACGACGGAGTTCCGACACATGCTGGATCGTTTCGTACTTATATACCTCGACGACATTCTGGTTTACAGTCGGAATCTGGACAAGCATGTGGAACACCTGCGCACCGTTTTGGAGCGGCTACGATAGGCCAGGTACAAAGCAAACCGCGACAAGTGCGAGTTCGCACAGCAGGAGCTGGAGTACTTGGGACACTATGTGACGACGCAAGGCATCCGTCCACTTGCGGACAAGATCGAGGCCCTACGAGTATGGCCCGAGCCCACCAACACCACGGACGTTCGTTCATTCATGGGGTTGGCGGGCTACTATCAGCGATTCATCACCGGATACTCCAGGATTGCTGCACCTATGACGAGGTTACAGTCGCCAAAGGTGGCATTCGTATTCGATGTCGACGCACGCCGGTCATTCCAAGCACTTAAGACGGCTATGCTCATGGCACCCGTCCTTAGCATTTATGACCCCACCCTGCCGACACGAGTGACTACGGACGCTTCCGGCTATGGCATTCGGGCAGTCTTGGAACAGCACGACGGCGACGACTGACACCCTGTGGAGTATTTCAGCCACAAAGTGCCTCCCATCAACTCGCTTGATGATGCAAGGAAGAAGGAGCTGCTCCCATTCGTGATGGCTCTCAAACGCAGGCGACACTTCCTCCTTGGGTGTCGTAAGGTCACATGATTCACAGACAACAATCCATTGACCTACTACAAGACGCAGGACACGGTGAGCAGCACGATCGGACGATGGATGTACTTCATCGACCAATTTGACTTCACACCAAAGCATGTCCCCGGCCTCTCCAATCGCGCAGCAGATGCACTCTCGCGAAGACCTGATCTTTGCGCTATGACACATCATGCCTTCGAATTCGACGAGGAACTTCAGCGACACTTCATCCGGGCATATCAGTTTGATCCGGACTTTCGACACGCTCTATGCACAGCTATCTTCGGATCACCCGCCGGCCAGCCATTACCGCATTGCCGACGGGTACTTGCTCCTCCACTCGAGAGGCAAGGACTTACTATGTGTCCCACGCGACCATCGTCTTCGGACTCACCTCCTCGGCGAGTACCATGATTCACGACTCGCCGGCCATTTCGGAGTCAACTGCACTATTGCACGACTTCGACAGCGATTCCGATGGCCCGACCTCATTACCGATGTCACTCGGTATTGCGACTCTTGCGAAGTTTGCCGACGCAGCAAGCCCCGCAACCGCAATCCCTACGGTGAGTTACACCCGATACCTATCCCACGGGAACCCGGTCTCTCCATTGCCATGGACGTTACCGGTCCGTTTCCTCGCGACCGGCTCGGGCACGACGGCATCCTCACGGTTGTGGACCGATTGAGTAAGTACGCGCGTTTTCTCCCTTGCAAGTACTACTCCACGGCTTCCGAGCTGGCACGCCTCCTGCACACTGGTTGGATTTGTGGCCACGGTGTACCAGAAGACATTGTCAGCGACCGCGACACTCGTTTCATGTCGGCGTTTTGGACTGCTCTCATGCAGGAGTCCGGCACAACAATGAAACCAAGTTCGGCTCGACACCCTCAGACAGACGGGCAGACGGAGCGGGCACATCAGACCGCTCAAATGATGCTTCGTACGCTCATCCGTCCGAACCAAAAAGATTGGGTTCACCGCCTCCCCCACATCGAGTTCACCTACAACACTTCGGTGCATCCGGCGATCGGCGTGACTCCATTCGAGTTGCACCACGGTGGACGGAAAGGCCGGATCTTCGCCGACCTTCTCCTCCCTCGACCAGCCGACATTGACGCTGCCTGCTCTCCCTCTTCCGTCCGGAAGTACAGGGAATTGCTGACTCAAGCCCGYGCAAATATGCAAAAGGCTCAAGTCCGCATGCAGCAGCAAGCCAACAGGCGTCGCGTACCATGTCCCATCCGCGCCGGTGATCTGGTTTGGGTCTCCGCGGAAGAGTTTGCACTGGAACAGGATGTTTCACGCAAACGGCTTCCCAAGTGGTTTGGACCTTGGTCTGTGACAGCAGCCGCGGGCGATGAGCCCGATGGCCCTTCATTTGWGATCAACATTCCAGAGCATCTGACGGTCCATCCGGTCTTCCACGCCTCGAAGCTGGCAACTTACACGCCAGCCAAGAGCGACGACTTTCCGGACCGA